AAACCAAGGAATAACGGCCCGAAACCAAGCAACCTCCAAAAGAAAACAAACCCTAAATCAAAGAACCCAAACCAACGAGTACCAGGTCCAAAACCAGAAACCCTAATCGCCAAGTTCACCTAAAACCGACCGAACAGCCCCTGACCAGATCCGAACCAGCCCCTGATCAGATCCGAACCAGCCCCTTAACCGCGGCAGCAAAAACAATCTTGAACAGCTCAACAGCCTTCTTCCTGCGATTGATCCTGTGTAACCGTGTGTTTAACCGAACCAAGGCTCTGATACCACTTGTTAGGAATCAGAGATCAGAGGCGGTCAAGCGGAAGCGAACACACACACACACACAAATAGCAGAAAATAAGAACACGAGATTTAACGTGGTTCGGTCAGTAACCTACTCCATGGGTTGCAACTAGGGTTTATCTTTTATTAGGTGCTCACAGATTATAGTTACATGATTGGGTATTTATAAGATATAAACTAGGGTTAACAACTTGCTAAACAAGAAACAACTAATGGGCCCTTTAATTAATAACTGAAACCGGCCCCCCATGTTTCTTCCCTTTAACCGACCGGGCTTAAAGCCCAAAGCTCTAAAGCCTTCACCGAATAACCCAACAAGTTATACATTCAACAAAGTGACCCTTCTCTAGTAAGAGCTTTTCCCAAAGTGGCTCTTTTAGTAAACCACCCCACACTTAATATCCTAGAGGACTGAAAATCCACTTCAGAGAAAAGTGGAGTGAAAACGGATCGGTCAGTAATTGAGGCCTAAACTACACTGAGCGGGTATCTCTGGGGACTAAGAGTTATACTTTTCCAATAATTGAGTTGGAAGTCGCATTCATTACACATTGGATCGCATCTGATAAATGATATATAAGCCATTTAGCCATACATTATACTAGGATGAAGTACATATTTTCAAGTATTAACAAACATTCGGCCAGTACAAATACATCCTAAGGGCTAAATGACTGTTTACATCAGAGAAGACTAGTAGTTTACTCCCAATTTGTGGAGAAACTGTACAATAAAACCCAAAAAAGAAGATCACCAAGTTGTCCATACCTTATGGGATAGTTGATCGTTAGGATATTAAATCTTTGGCATGATTCGTTAATTTCTTTAGAATTGATTCCCCAGTTTTCTGCTTCAATTCCACTCTGAAAATTCAGCACAGCAGTGACCCCCTATATTGCCCAGATGCCCTGGATTAGACACATGTAACTGAACAAAAAAACTAAACCCACTAATCACTAATAAGCGTGCCACTCACTCTCAATATTATATTCGTGTATATCTATATCACTTCCTCCCAGCTACGACATCTCCAAAACTATTAGATAAATGGAAACCACTTCTGTGAACATATGGGTAATACCGTAATAGTGAAAAATATGAATGAAAAAAATAATTCATATTTAAGATGTAGAGTATAATGCTTGCATGACGATGATTAAAAGGAAAAAAAACATAGAGCACCCGTTAAATCAAAATGGCAGCAACCCTCACCACTGCATTACACAGCATCTCAACATCAGCTTCCCTTTGAATGCATGACCCAACATATATTTGTTCTGTTATCTGAAATAGTGAGGCAGGAGTAATAACTACAGAGGAGCATAAAAATTTTGTCATTGAGATAATCACCTCAAAGTAAAGTTTGAAATAGGAAACTTTGAAATGGATTTATGCCAATTAACATCTAAGATGTATCTAATTAAGCAACTCACTACATTTTCAGAAGAAGAAGGTTTGAAAAATGAAATTGACATTGGAGTTACTAACAGTTAGAATTTTAATGTGTTGTTTGGGGGTGGGGGTATGGGGGCCAAGATCATACCTTGCTATATCGCATCCCAAGTGCATGATTATAGTACAGGTCCCCCTTTGAACGATCCAATGCCTTTATATATTCTTCTAATGGGAAATTCCCATGAGCCCATTGAGCATCTCTTGTTGCTTTCTCACAAAAGATATTCACGAGTGGGCTAAAAGGTATGGGAGGGGTATTATTTGGCACATTTTGTTCTATGGTTTCATTTTGACTATCCAAAGCCCTCCATCCTTTCGAAGTAAGATATTTAGATGAAAATGAGGCAAATCCAGAATTACCACTACTTTCGCACAGTGTTCTTAAGTTTGAGGCAAGCAAATTTTTGTTCCATGTGACTATGGGAACGCGGCCTCGATTAAATAGAATATCGACAACATCCATAAGATACAGTTGGTGGATAGGAAATGGGGAGAAAGGTCTCTCAAGAATAAGGCTGCAAGATCCCGAACCATCCTGCATTATCTTCCTGCAGAAACCATTACAAGATACACCCACTTATTGGCCCGCCAATTGCTTAGTGAATAGGCCAAATATAGTTTGCCATGCGGAGTTTAATATTCCCTGACAACAAAAGCATATAGTATCTCATACTCTATATCGCCAAAGTCCTCAATCTCAAGAAGCCTACCGCCTGAAGATTCACTGGCCTTTTTCAAAGTATCACCCACCATAATTATTCTCGACTTTTCAGCATTTCCCTGCAAAATATTTCAACTAAATAGTGACCATACAATCTACCCAATTGGTAATGTGGAATCAACAGAAGTAATTAAAATGTGAGATCAACGAACTTTTTATAATATATTGGCTTTGATTCACCTATTCTAACTCTCAAAATCAGCTAGTCTAGGTATTTAAGAATATACTGATTCTGAAGAATCAAGCTGTTGATTACTCTTAAGCTCTGTTTGGTTTGTGGAATTAGGAATGAAAGGAAAAGAAAGATTTTTTTCTCTCGATTTCCTCACCCAAATGGAATGAAAACTTTTTGCCTCCTTTATAGTTTAATTTCTCCCCTCATTATTTTTCCTTCACTTTTCTTTTCATTTCTTGTCAAACCAAACAAGAAAAATTGTTTTTCATAATACGGAGTAACTCTTTTCTTTTCCCTTCCAAATTCCTTGAACCAGGCATAGTGTTGGGAATCAGATTCTAGGAGCAGAATCAACAAGTAAATCTAACACAAACTTATTAGACAGTGAAGTGAACACGAATTGGGAGAACACTGACCCCTTTCATGAGAGCATGAACAAGGACCTTTCCATCAACGGAGAGGGCGAATCGAATGCCCAGAGGCTTCTCCAACGCGATCATATACTCGTTCAAATTCATCCTAAAAGACGACGATGAGTTCGAAAAAGACATAGCCCCGACCGGAGAACCCTTCCGACGGCGCGGCAACCGCTTCTCCGCCGCCAGTCCATTGCTCAAACACACTTCTCTGTCCCGTAATTCCGAACGACGACCGGATTTCCACAAATTCTCCGTCAGGGAAGAGAGACTGCCGCCGAATGGAGTGCGATCGAAGACTCGGAGACATGGGATTTGCAACGAACACATTCTGAGCTTGGTTAGCTTCGCTTGAAGATTAACAAAATCTGAAAAATCTTATGGAAATGATTTTGTTCAGACTATACTCTGTATTCATGGATATATGGTGGAGGAAGAAACATTTGAGCTTTGGTTAACTGCAGAATGAAAGCTCTATCCAAAATAGTGTTTGGGAGGAGGAAGGTGGCATGTGGGTCTCTATGTTACACTCGGATCAATGTTTACCGTCGGTGAAAAAATAAACAAATTATTGTCACGAAAATATTTATTTAAATACGGAGTATTGTTTTTGAATAAAACAAACAAATTATTTAAACAAATAAAACCACCTCTTAATTTATAAACTTTTAATAAACTTTTAATGTAATTCTTAATATGTAAATTTTATTTCTTTGAATCAAACTAAATGAACTTTAAACTTCAATCAGACAAAAATTGTAATGTATATTAGTAGAAAAATGATTTCAATAGATTTATTATATTGAGAACTTTCAAAATTTCATCTGTCGTACAAATATGTAACATAAACTGTGAGTAATTGAAACTTAGTTTTTTTTTCAATTTGACTAAAAAAAGTCAAATTGAAAAAAACAGAGTAGGACGAGGTAGTATGTTTGAACCGCTTGTTGAATCACTCAAATGACGAATTCAACCACTAAACTAGTGAACCAATACCTTAAACGGTTCTGTCCTTGATTCAATTCTCAAAAATATAGTTTCAAATTTCCCTCCATTCCTACATGTACGCTTGCAGGAGTTGAAGGAGGAATAGTCGCTATTTTATAATCATAACATTTAAGAGCAACTCCAACGAAGCCTCTATAGTTAAAAATAGGACTATGCTACACTTACACCAACAAATATACCCCATTTGTACAAACATTTCGATGGTTTACACCGACACAGGTGTTGGTGCGTTAATAAAAATTCACACGGACACAAATGTTGGTGCGTTTAACAAAAATTAGTTTTACATCAACACAAAATGTTGGTGCAAAACTGCGGGGTACAAATCTTGGGGTACACATAGCATAATCCTTAAAAATATGGAGTATAAGTTTTACACTATATTGTTGCAAAAAGTGAACTCCAATGGGTCATTTAAAAAAGTAGAGGAATAATTGCTTTTGCTTTCACATTTTTTATTAATATATGATCTCTATCCCAAAGCAACTATAACAGCTATCATACATGGAAAAATGAAGCAAATGTAAAACATGGTTTACATGTAAAAATGATGATGTGGTTGGAACACATATAAAAAAGAGACAATGTAAAACATGGTTTACATGTCTAAAAAGGCTTTATACCTGCCCGCATTAGCATTGGAGTTGCTCTTAGTTATAAGTCAATTGATTTAGATTCCCTTTGTCATTAGCGTCAGAGATTAGCGTTAGTGTTTTGAAAATGTTATCCAATAGTAATCGTTAGACTTAGCGTTTTGTAAATTAATCTACACCATTAAAATTTTATCCAAAATGTTAACGATAATAAAAAATGTTATTCCCAAACAAGGCCTTAGTTTTCATGTTCTGTCAGTATTAGTTAATGTGGAAGAAACGAAAATGTAATCTAATGAATAGTAAAAGAGATATGCTAGGGGTACACCTTTGGTGTACCCCAAATGTACATCACCCCTCTCTTTACCATTCATTTTATTTTATTTTTAATTTTAATTTTTTTTGAATTTTTCTTACTTTTTTGTGTAGTGATGGAGGGGGTGAGAGATGTTTGAGGTACAATTTTGGTGTAGCATTTTTCATAATAAAATACTCGGTAAATTTGTTGACAAGGAGTGTATCAAACTATCAATCAAAACTCAAAAGTAGAAGCGTAAATATCAATTTCCACCAAAAGCCCGGACAAAAGTTTTTAATGGGACGGAAAGTAGTACTATATACATACAATAAGTCAATTAGAAGCTGGAAAATGACACATGTTTATCCGAATAAAAACATTAATCCGTATTTACATTACAAACAAAAATTGAATTATATGGACACAATATCTGTTTTGCCAGTTTTTACAGTGATCCTTTGAATCTGGCAGAGATGATTCCTGAGATTCTTTGGATCTGAGAAATTAGAAGTCCTAATGGATTCAAATCTTCCCGAATGCCGCTGGCTTGACGTTGGCGAAGAAGCCGACCAGCTCCCGCCGGTACGGCAAATACGATTTCCGTTTCTCGCCTTCCTTTGCCGCTTTACTCCTCAAGTAAAACGCCTCGTGAGCGGCCATTGGCGGCGCGGCCGCGGCGGATTTCTTCTTCTTCTTCTTCTTCGCTTGTGTTTTTCCGTCGGCCTCCGTTTCTATGCCGAACCGGTTCGCCGCCTTCGAGGTTTCGCCCGTTTTCGGAGTCAAAAACACGTAGCGGTCATTTCCGTGACTATTGACCCGACACAACAAGTCTCGGATCCTCCTCGGCATTGAGTGAGATCCGGTAGAACTGCTCTTCTTGCCTAAGCTAGAAGACGGCGATTCATCGATCTTCTTCGGACGCCACACGCAGTACGTCCCCGGCGGCACACAGTCCAATTCGTCGGCGTCAGACGACGACGATGACGACTGCGGCTGCTCGTCTAAGAACAGATTCTTCAACGACGATATCCCCGCGGAACTCTCACGGAGGAGCGCCTTGCCTTCATCTCCTCGATCTGGATCCAGAAAACCTTCATCTAACAACAGATCTCGGTTGAAGACGGGGAATACCGAACCAATTTGACCGTCGTATACGAATCCGCCGGGAAAAGCGTCGAAATTCTCCCGAACAAAAGAGAATTCAAAATCATCCTCATCGTCGTCGTCTTCCTCTTCCTCTTCCTCTTCCTCATCCTCCTCGCCGTGCTCCGCCGCGACAGATCCAACAGGCGGCGGCGGCGGCGGAAATCCATAATCATCAGAGGTATTATCGGTGATTCCGGCCAGTGCATCAGAAGAGTAGCAGCTGTTGAAGCTGGGGCTCAGGAAACGATCTTCGTCCATTATTTTCTGCATTTTTTGCTGGTAGTCGGGGAGATCCATAGAGAAATGGTGGGTGTAGATATACGGAGGGGATATATATAGAAGGCCGTCTGGGTGTGTATGTATATACGGAGTATATACACAGCGAGTAACGGTGACGTAACGGCTCACATTAAAAGCCCGGCTCTATGCGGTTGGGTAGGAAGCATGGGAGGGGTGACTCGGGGGTTTCTTCCTACACACGATTCGGGACCCGATATGGCTTCTAGAATTGTGCTTGTCTGTCAAACGCCCGCGTTTTATAACTCCGTTTCATCTTAAATTTCCTAAATGTACCCCAAATATACACCACTCTCTTCTCCACCATACATTTTTATTTAATTTTTATTTACTTAACTTTTTTAAAATTTTTTTGCCTTTTTTAGTGGACAAGGAGAGGGTGGGGGACATATGGGGTACACCTTTGATGTACCCCTAGCATTTTTCATTTTCTAATGATTTCGCAACTCTATTTCTTTCATATTAACCCATCCCTCCTAAAATTAACTTCCCAGTTTGACTTTTATAGTCAAATTTTTTTCAATTTTAACCGTATATTATGGAAAAAATACATTAAATTTTCATATAAATTTATTAGCAATAGATTCATTTTGAAACATAGTTTCAAAATATATAATTTTTATAAAATTTATTTATATAAACATTGAGATATTGATGGTCAAAGTGTCACATTGGAAACCGTGAAAAGTCAAATGGGAAGTTAATTTTAAAACGGATGGAGTATAACACTTGTTCAAGACTCATACGCAGGAACGACAACGGGTCAGGTGTAATTCAAATTTACCCAACTTAGTTCGAGTTCAGGTTTGATTTGGATGAGTCAAATTTGGATATAATATTTTTCAATTCCAATTCAATTTAAGGTTTGCTCAAGTCAACAACTTAGGATTGAATTATTATCTAATTCAATGCTCAAAAACCTAAGAACTTTTATTGTTATTTCAAATGTATTTATCAAGTAACTTGTCTAGTCAAAAAATCAAGTAACTTGTAATTTATCTAGAGCCTCTTTGGGAATAGCGTTAGATATTAGCGTTAGCATTTTGAAAAGGCTATCTACGGTCAGCGTTTAACATTAGCGTTTTCAAAGTAATCTGCACTGTTAAAATTTTATCCAAAACGCTAATGATAATCTCTAACGCTATTCCCAAACAGGCCCTTAATGTGCTCCAAAATCTAAGTATTAAAAAACGTACTCTCGGTCTAAATAACTCATCCTCCTTTCTTTTTTTGTCTTACAAAATCCTTCTTTTTTATTGAAAAAATATTTTTACTTGTATTAATTCTTAACCCAACTATTACATCATACATTTTCACTATTATCTACTCATCATATCTTACTTTTACCTATCACATCAAAGATATTTTGAAAAATTAACACAAAATAGTTTTCTCTTAAATTTCCTTAAATTCAAAATGAAACATTTTATGTGACCAATGAAGTATGAGTAGGGGTGGACACGGCACCGGTATGTTACCATTACCATTACCGGTGCCGGTACCGCCGCCGTCATCGGAGACGGATACATTGAGCTAGTACCAGGAATCGGTACCGAAACCGTCTCACACAGTACCAATTCATGTGCCAGTTTTTCAGTATCGGCACCGGTGGTACCCGTTCTGATACTGTTTGAATTTTTTTCCCTTTTTCTTTTGCTTGCTTTGTCAGGCTTTTGCAGCCAATTGCAGGGGGGCTCCTCAACGGCATGATAGCCGTTTGAGGAGGGGAAGGGGAAAGGGGGGTTTGGGGGGGGGTTACCGGTTACCTATGTAAATAATCCTCCCATTTTTATAAAAAATACCACACTCAATCTCAATTCTCAAATACTCAATTCTCATTTCTCAAATCTCAATTAATTTCTATTATTATTTTTCAATCTTTATACATTTTATATTCATATAATAATATAAAATTATAAATATATATTAATATATTATATATTATATAAATATATACTCATATAATATTAAATTTTTAGACATACATTCATATATTACTAATATATTATATTGTTATAAATTAATATTATAATTTCAAAATTCAATATATATTTAATATTTTAAATATTTAATATAGTCCTTTTTTATCAAAATAAAAATATTTTAAAATGTTGAAAGAGTCTGGTAGAAGATCTATGGATATGGGCATTGTTAACTTGAAATTCGA